AAAGCAATGAGTGGAATAATTTTAATTTATCTAAATTATACCTTAAGTATTTTATAGCTACACTTGCCCCATTATCTGCTAAAAACTGCCTTGAGTTCGTTTCAAAAATGACTTTGAACAGATTTAAACAAATCATCATGGAGTATAGTGTTAAGATACTGGACTACCTGTTTAGCATCTGTACTTTTATGATTTCTTAAAGACTTATGGTATTGGACTACTTAAGATGCTTTATCAACCAACCAACCTATCGTAGTACTTACAATTCCCTTGTATATCATATATCCAGGATTTTAAAAGTATTGTTTGTACATAGTTCTCAGGCTGGAGTAGTTCGCACTTTTATTTTCAGCTAAGGAAGGAAGACAATGTGCAAACCTTGCAAGACTCAGATACAAGAGCAAGAAGCTGCTATGACCTCTTTATAAAAATATATTTTCTGGCATCCCAACATCCATTGTTTGCTTAAGGATTAATACTCCTTACTTAAAAATGATAAAGTTTTCACTTTTTTTTAAAAAAAGTTAAAAAGTGCTAAATTGAATATGTCAGAAATCCTACTATTAATTAGCTGAAATGTTTTATCGTAGTAATCTAGTTCAGTTATTTAATACACAGTCACGATTTCTAGCTGGCACACTTCTTTGCTTTCTTTTGCCTCTCTCGTGTTCCACATGACCTCCTTATCATGCTTCTGGAGTGAGTTTTACTTTTTGCCATCTCCACCTCCTCATTATTTCAAGTATCTTTAGGTGTCCTTGAGCTCACAATCCCTACTTCTGTTTTTGTCTTTTCTATTATACAATGGGCAAAAAAGTATTTAGTCAACCACCAATTGTGCAGGTTCTCCCACTTAAAAAGATGAGAGAGGCCTGTAATTGACATCATAGGTAGACTTCAACTATGAGAGACAAAATGAGAAAACAAATCCAGACAATCACATTGTCTGATTTGGAAAGAATTTATTTGTAAATTATGGTGGAAAATAAGTATTTGGTCAATATCAAAAGTTCACCTCAATACTTTGTAATATATATCCTTTGTTGGCAATGACAGAGGTCAAACGTTTTCTATAAGTCTTCACAAGGTTGGCACACACTGTTGCTGGTATGTTGGCCCATTCCTCCATGCAGATCTCCTCTAGAGCAGTGATGTTTTGGGGCTGTCGCTGGGCAACACGGACTTTCAACTCCCTCCAAAGGTTTTCTATGGGGTTGAGATCTGGAGACTGGCTAGGCCACTCCAGGACCTTGAAATGCTTCTTACAAAGCCACTCCTTCGTTGCCCGGGTGGTGTGTTTGGGATCATTGTCATGCTGAAAGACCCAGCCACATTTCATCTTCAATGCCCTTGCTGATGGAAGGAGGTTTGCACTCAAAATCTCATGATACATGGCCCCATTCATTCTTTCCTGTACACGGATCAGTCGTCCTGGTCCCTTTGCAGAGAAACAGCCCCAAAGCATGATGTTGCCACCCCCATGCTTCACAGTAGGTATGGTGTTCTTTGGATGCAACTCAGCATTCTCTCTCCTCCAAACACGACGAGTTGTGTTTCTACCAAACTGTTCTACTTTGGTTTCATCTGACCATATGACATTCTCCCAATCCTCTTCTGGATCATCCAAATGCTCTCTAGCAAACTTCAGACGGGCGCGGACATGTACTGGCTTAAGCAGGGGGACACGTCTGGCACTGCAGGATCTGAGTCCCTAGCGGCGTAGTATGTTACTGATGGTAGCCTTTGTTACGTTGGTCCCAGCTCTCTGCAGGTCATTCACTAGGTCCCTCCATGTGGTTCTGGGATTTTTGCTCACCGTTCTTGTGATCATTTTGACCTCACGGGGTGAGATCTTGCATGGAGCCCCAGATCGAGGGAGATTAACAGTGGTCTTGTATGTCTTCCATTTTCTAATTATTGCTCCCACAGTTGATTTCTTCACACCAAGCTGCTTGTCTATTGCAGATTCAGTCTTCCCAGCCTGGTGCAGGTCTACAATTTTGTTTCTGGTGTCCTTCGACAGCTCTTTGGTCTTCACCATAATGGAGTTTGGAGTGTGACTGTTTGAAGTTGTGGACAGGTGTCTTTTATACTGATAACAAGTTCAAACAGGTGCCATTAATACAGGTAATGAGTGGAGGACAGAGGAGCCTCTTAAAGAAGAAGTTACAGGTCTGTGAGAGCCAGAAATCTTGCTTGTTTGTAGGTGACCAAATACTTATTTTCCACCATAATTTGCAAATAAATTCTTTCCAAATCAGACAATGTGATTGTCTGGATTTGTTTTCTCATTTTGTCTCTCATAGTTGAGGTCTACCTATGATGTCAATTACAGGCCTCTCTCATCTTTTTAAGTGGGAGAACTTGCACAATTGGTGGCTGACTAAATACTTTTTTTCCCCACTGTATGTACAGTAGAGTTGTCTAAGTATGTAGCATTTTGAAGGCACACAAATGCAAAAAAGATAACTTGCTAAAATATTGCTTGGCTCCATTACTCTGAGTGCAAAAGTCTTAATATGTTTTGACTGAACTGAACTGAACAGTTTTTGAAATAATATGACATTATTTTAACCAATATGAATGGTTACAAAGATAAATGGTGCTGGAAATATAGGTCAGGTAGAAAATTTTAACCAGCTTTCATGGCTTAGGTGGGACTAGAACTTACAGTGACCTGATTTCTAGCCTGATACCTTAATCACTAGACCAAACTGTCTCTTTTTGTATCTAGATTAAGCCTACGTATACCAGTTTATATTCTAATGAAGGAAAGAAAGAAATGAAAAGAATGTGTACAGTATATTGAAAAGGAAAACAAGTCTTTTTTTGTTCACTTTGATACATTAAATGCCCTGAAAGAAAGGTATAAAATGTGCTGCCAAATAGCCAAGTCCTCCTCTGCCTTAGTAACAAAACCAGCTAGTGGTTCTGTCCTACAGTTTCAATTCCTATGGTATTTGGTGGGATAAGCAGAAACAACTGGACGCTGGAGGACTCACAGGTAATCTGATCCTCTGCCAGGTAGAACTTTCTGAATGACAACAACACCTTAAATTGCACAGAAACCTTAATGCAACGCAATATATTTTGTCAAAAAGTGGCATTTCATGGTCCTATCTTGATGTGTTCCAAAGCGCATGCACTGATACATTCTGGATCAGTTGCAGCTTCCAAATCCTTTTCAGAATAGTTCCATGAAGCATGCATTACAATAGCCCAAATAGGACATGACTAATACATGATACTATTCTTGATTCAGATTTGGGTGTAATGGGCAAACAAGAAGAATTTGTGGAAAGGCCCGCCTAGTCACAACTGTCACATACTCCTTAAGCAGGAGATGTAAGTCCAGGGGAAGTCCTAAAATTGTGCACACTAATTCTGACTGGAGGAGTGGTGTTTCCTTCAGAGTTAAAGATGGAATGTATCTGGATCCAGGAGGCTTCAGAATCCAGAGCCACTCAGCAGAGGTGGTATTCAACCGATTCATGTGAAGCGTTGGTGGAAATTTGGCCAAGGTTACTGAACCGGTAGCGATGGCTGGCTGGCCATGCCCCCGAACCGCCCCTCCGGTCGCCGCTTGCTTGCCCACCCACCATGTTCATTGCCATGTTCTTCATGCACGCGCATACCACTGTCTTGCAAGTCCATTGGGATACGCATGTGCGAAGAACATGGCGGTGACGGCAGCAGCTTTTTCCATGACCTCCAGTACTTTTCAGTGGCCTGCCTGGGAGGCTTCTTTGCCAGCTGCTTTCCAGCAGCAGCAGCTGGATGGGGGCCGCCGAAAACTCCAGTCAGCTTGCCTTCCAGACTCTGGACCAGAGGTAAGCAGGTAAGCAGCCTGAATAAAGAGGCGGTGGTGGGGGAGGAAGCGGGGCTAGGGCCAGGGCTGCTACAGGAGGGGAAACGGGGGCGACTGGTGAAGGGAGGGCAGGGGTAGATAGGTGGAAATTCCCAAAATTTTCCTACCTTTTCCTGTGGTCATGGCTAGGTGGGGGGGGGGGTGTCATGTGACTGAGTGGGTGTGGGTGACGTCAAGCTAGCCATGCCCACTCAGTCACGTGCCCACCTAGCCATGCCCACCGAACCGGTAGCGAAAATTTTTGAAACCCACCACTTCAGCCTTGTCAGGGTTGAACTGCTCTTCTCCATCCAGACTCCTACAATCTCCAAACAATGGGAAAGAATCTTGATGGCATCACAAGGTGATTTGATGCAGAAATGTACATATCAATATCAATGCTGGTTAGTGATACTTCAAACCATGCCAATGGATGAACTCATCCAGCAGCTTTATTTAGATGTTAAATAAGAGACTGAGGAGAGAACAGAGTCCTGTGAGACCTTATGAAGCAGCAGTCTAGAGCTAGATCTTTTCCCGTATCTAATTTGACTGGCTCTAGAGAAAGAAAAACCAGTGTGCCTCCTAGCCTAATCTCCTAAATTGGTCCAAAAGAATAGCATGATTGATTTTACTGAAAGCCACTGATAGATCAAGGAGGGCAAAGAGGGATACATTACCACCATTCCGATCCCACCCAAGGACATCAATAAACCTGATCCAGTGTTTTTTGGCTAATACCCATCTTTGTTCCAGTGTTGGCGCCACATGCATAATCTGGCTCAACGCATATCTAAGAGTTTTTTCTTTCTTCTCATTGAACAATTTTTGCCAGACACAAACTCCATTATAAGGTGAGCAATAATGCATGTCATGGACTGGGATCTGTATAGTTTCTAATGGCCATTTCAGGCTGCTACAAGGATATTCCCAACAATTACAGGCTACTGCCCTCTATGGCTATTTTAGCTGGTGTGACTGGACAACCCATCCCCTGGCTCCTGCAGATTATCTGCCTGACATTATGCTTAGCCTATACTTTTCAAAATGCTTGTCAGGTTTTATATAGGCTTCTCATATACATGAGTTTAGTGCTCTTTTGAAGAGTGTTAGTCCAGTACTGTACAGTCACTTTATATAAGAGAGAGAGAGCTATATTGGTTAAGTTTTATTGGTTTTGTTGACAGTGAGTGCATTATATGTTTCCTATTGCTTCTGCTGACAATGATTTTTGTGTAGATGTACCTCATACTGTTTCTATTACTGGGAATGGGAAGAGAACATCATTTTGTCTACACCACAAGCTACTTTGTGTTGCCAGTCATGGCCACTCACTGCCAGCACTGCATTCATTCCCTTTTGAAAGAATGCTGAGCCAGTGTCCAAAAATAGCTGAGCTGACAGATTGCAGGAGCAGAGGAAGAATACAGAGTGAAAGTGGAAGGACGTCTCCAGATACTTGGTCTCTGCAACCTATTAGGAGGCAACAAAATACTGTAGGTGGCTAAATCCATCATTCAAAGCACATGCTAATGTCTGCTCAGCCATATCCCATCCACATGAATGAGAACAAGTGTTGTTTCTCCCACAGCTAAGTAGAGGGGAAACAAAGGAAGGGGAATCCAAATTTGACTCTCTTAATTTGTCCTGCTTTGAAACTGTAGGGACAGAACCCTTAGCTGGCTTCATTACAAAGGCAGAATAGGCAGTGGTGGGATTCAAGTAATTTAACAACCAGTTCTCTGCCCTAATGACTTCTTCCAACAACCAGTTTGCCAAACTGCTCAGAAAGTTAACAACTGGTTCTCCCAAAGTGGTGCAAACTGGCTGAATCCCACCACTGAGAATAGGGCTTGGCTAGTTGGCAGGACAGTTTACACCAGCATATTTTTCTGCTAGCTCATGGACTAGTACATTGCATTTCAATGTGGCTGTCTTTAGTTTCTCTTTAATTTCCACATGCTATTGTATAGCCAAGTAACCATTTATATTTTTTGTTTGTTCTTATTATCAGTCAGTAATTACTCAATGAAGGATAACTCAAAAATCAGAAATTGATTTCTCTGTAGGATTCATTCCTTGTTATTAAGAACTCGCTGAATAGCAGAGAGGGGGAAGAACATAAAATAACTCTCTAGAGAGACCAGCAATTTTCTTTGAATTAGGTTACTATGCATCCAGTTGACCTCTAGAAACCCTGGCTGGCTCCTAGATTTATAAATGTTTTGCAACCCAGATCAACCTACTATATATTCCTGGGAGCACCATAAATAAACAAGAGTGTTTTCTAGTAAAAATTAAATCCAAGGGACCAAAAGCAAACCCTTGTTTTTCCACTTTTAAAAGTGCATAGGGTATAGTTTTAAATTCATATTCTATTTTCAATCTTCTTCACAGACTTAATAGAAGCTATATCTAAGTACATTTTCATATATTTTTTGGGGGGGTAGGATACTGTGAATAAATCTAAAATTCATTTTTATTAGGGCCAACTGAGATTCACAGTCATAAGCTTTGAGTTTCTCAGAGTGGAAGTTAAACAAAAAGAAAGGAGAAGTAAATAAAATGCTAGTAAAGTTCATGCTGAGGAGAAATGAAGCAACATTTTCTCAGGAGATATGATGGAGGCAGTGGACCTTCTCTTTTGGGAATGCTATGCTTTATCTTTATTAAATACTAAATATTATTAGATACAGTATTAGAAAAATACTAATAATCACCAACTGAAGGTCTTAAAAGAAAATCAATGCATCACATTGATACTTACAACATTGCTAGGGTTGCCAGGTCTGCTTCCAAAAAATAGCGGAGGGGGGGGGGGGTAGTAAAAAAATTAAAAAAAATTACAATTAAATTATATATTTTCTTACAAACATTTTAACACGTATTAAAATAATCACTTCAAAACTTTACTTAAAATTCAAAACATCAAATATATTATAATAATATGTAAAATATTAAATTACATTTTACTTTGCTGGCATGTGTATTTTTTATTTGACTGCGCAGCTTTGATCAATTCTTTGTGTTTAAGGAATAATTCTTTAATTTCAGTACAACGTTGAGAAATATTAAAAAATATACAAAGTTCACTTCGAACTGATGGTACAAGCAGTCGGTTACGTTCGTCAGTCCACAAATTTCCCATGACGCTGAAAATTCGTTCAACGTTTGCATTTGATACTGGAATTGATGCACAATACTGGAACAGTTTCAGTAAACTCGGAGCTGGCTCTTTCTTGAAAAAGTATGTCCACTTATCAAGGGATGAATCGCCCTGCAGATGAACATAAACTTCTTCTAAGGCAGAAATTTCATCGAAGAGAGTGTTGGGTGGAAGTTCTTCTCGCCATGGTGATAATAACCAGATGTTCGTCATTTCTTCTAAAGTTGGAGGATTATTGCGATCAATTAGATTGAAACAACTTAGCATCTCATATACTGAATCGGTGAAATTATACCACTTTTCTAGGTACGCAATGGCTCTTTGATACACGTTGATGGCTTCTTTCTTGAACTTTTGCATGGCATTCTCAGGCAAATGTTTTTTACGTAAGGCAAATAAAACTTTCATTCCAAAAAACTGCTCATCGTATTTTTTTTGCAAAGAATCACGCAGCTTACACATGATAATGTGAAGATCACATGCAAGAATTTTCTTGCTTTCCAGCTTCAGTAGGGTGTCTTGCATTATTGACATGAAGAAGTGCATGAAATATAAATACAATTCTGAAATTGTTGGTTCATCGTCCTTTGCGAGTTCATTTTCCTGATCCGAAATAAGGTTCCAGATAACCTTATGGCACTCATCAGATCCAAGAGAAATAAAATACGATTTTAGAGGTATCCAGTTTAAAAGAAGTCTTTCGACCGCTTTAAACAAACTTAACCAACGTGTTGGAACATGGCGCTAAACTTCATGGAATTCTGACTCGCAAAACTCAAAAAATGATTTCAACTCTTCTCGTTTCTTCGCAAAATTCGGCAAAAACCTTCAGCACTACATTTTCGATATCAAAAGATAACTGCTTTAATGCATTTTTTGCGCTGTTATGTAAAATGTGATTATTGCAATGAGCATTCGATCTTTGTCTCCTTCTAACTTATGAAAAAAAAGACAAAACGGGATTCTCCTATCTTTATTCTCTTAGACTGTACAGCTTTAGATTATGTACCATTTCATCATAAAGCTTTTGAATAAAAAAAATGTCCACTATTTTGTGAAAATAAATAGTGAACATAATGTGAAAAAAGTGGACTGTCCGCTCAAATAGTGGACACCTGGCAACCCTAAACACTGCAAACTGGGGAATCTGCAACAAATGACCTAAATTTACTATTCAATCTAATCAGATTGTCCATTGTATGGGGTTATATGTAAAATAATAATTGGGTAATGTTCATACTTACAAAAATGAATTAAGTTTTAGATTATATGTTAGGTAAAAATCAATGAAATAACTGTAATGATTTAGGGAAAAGAGGTCTTTATTTTATTAGTTATTACGCTTTGTCCACAGGATTCCTAGCTGGATACTTAACTTTTGGGATTTTTAACTAAACAGGACATTGATTTTAAGATGACTATTTAGATAATGCAATTCAAAATGTAAATGTATGTAATACAATTCTTTCTGATCAGAAGCTATAACATTTATTTATCTTTGTAAAATGGTTATTTAAAAAATCAGAAACATATTTTTTCCATCTTCATCAATAGGCTCAGAATTTAAAAATAATTAATGAACATGTTAGTTCGGTTCATCATATGATTCTGTGCTCATTTAATAAATTATTTCATTGTTTACATTTATCACATACCCTCAAACAGTAAATATTTTCTAGCACTGTCTGGAAAGAAAAACCTTCCATAGTTTTACTGGAGTGACATGAATTGTATAACACAATACTGTAGTTATGCTGAACGCTTAAGAATTAAATCCTAAAGAAAACTTCTAAGATCAGAGATTGTACAGTTATTTTTGTTTGAGATCAATAGCAAATTGAAATACTGCACTCTGAAATATAATTCTGCTGAGAATTTGTAGAACTGCTGCCATTTGGAGTTGATGATCATTAAGATAAATCTTTTATCTCAGTTAAGAGATTATCTCTGTAAGCATACATATAAGAATGTAAAAAATGAATAAAAAGAGCAGAAAACACCATAATATCCTCACTTTTTCTAGATCTTGAAATCCAGGATGTGGATAATCTTAGACGCTTCTTCTGTCCTGGTTTGCCCTGTTACTGCCAATGGGGAGAGGGGACGACAGGGATGGGAGAGAAGTCACAAGATTCTATCTATCTATCATCTATTTATCCATCTACCCATCCACCCACCCATCATCTATCACAGCAGCCCATCTTGCAGTAGTCCAGTCCTTGGTTCCAGGCTGCATTCAGCTGGCTAGGTACAGTCATCTCTGCGCCAGAGCTCGACACTCCTATGGCTTCTTTCCAAGTGAATTTATTTGGGGAACTCACCACAAAGAGGTTTCCATAGAGTCTTTCAGTGTAGCATTAGTCATCGTACATGTCATTTGCAATGATTACACTATAACTGCGGACATCTGGAAAGCCAGTCATGTGCCTATAGTAGGCTTTATGACTTCATGAGAGGTCTGAATGGAATACTGACTGTCTGATCTGCAATTCAGCTGGTGTCATATTGCTTATGGCTGTGAGGTAAGCAGCATGGAGCTGCTTGGGGGTTACAATTACTGCATTACTTCTGGGCATAGGCAGTTGGGCCTGAAAAGAGGGGTAAGCATAGCAGAAAAAGACTCTGCAGTAATGAAGCAGAATCCTGGAAGGGAAGAAGAGGCTGCCTTGAGGATTTGGTAGGGCTGGTCAAGAGCCAAAGGCTTGATGCTCTCTGCTCTGGGTGGAATCCCAAGGGGTAGCTAAAGTCTAACAAGGCTGTGGACTTCACAGCCCCTGCTGGCAACATCTGCTTTTCCCCAGTAGGAGTAGAAAGGGGAGATTTGCCCCTCACTTCTCTGGTTTAGCATCATACAATGGGTGGCATCCCCACTCAAACACTCAGGGAAGCAAGAGTGGCCAGATCTTAGAATGACGCAGAGCAGCCCATACACCAGATAAGATCACATGGCTTTCTTACTATCTCTTCCGCGGGAGAACAGATTTAGAGTTGTGACAGGTCAAGGTGGTAGGGAGCAGCCTTGGTGGGAAAGGTGAATTCAGCCCCTGAGACCTTTGTGGCTTTTTCTGTTGTCCTCAGGGGCTCCAGGGCTGGTTCAGAGCCTCACTATCTGCTAGTAAAATGTCCATCAATTATCAGGGATTCATTAACATCAAGACCATTCATAGCACACTACTAAATACAACTGGAAATAGATTTCAGCTTATCACATCATCTAAAATGCCACTAAGGATATGATGTAACATGTTTTGTACTATACTTAGACAATGGACTAAAATTTGTTATAAATCTTCTATAAAACTAAGATAGCTGCTGTGAGGTTGCTAAATTGCTTTTCTAAAGACAATTGATGCATGGATTGCTTGCCCCTTATCTCTTTAGTAATCAGGATATACATAACAACATAGCAAAGCTTTTTAAAAAAGTCATCTGCAAGCAGCTCCAAAACAAAACTTGAAACATAAATAGTAACAGAAGGTCACAAACAAGGATCATTTATGTAAAAAACTGAAAAGGATGGAATTGATGCTTGGCCCTATTTTTCAGACATTCCTTTAAAATTACATTTAGTTTTTTAGCTTCTTATTTTCTTTTTTACTGAGTCAACAGCAATGTAAACAAAAAATTAGGATTAAAAAGAAAAATAAACCTTGGAGAAAAACAAAAGTGAAAAAAGAAGAATATTTGAAAAACAAAAACCCATGCAGTTCACAAGTATTTATTTTTTTATATGGCACCACCAAAGATTTCATCAACAATGAAGTTGAATTCCATATAAACTTTTTACCCATTCTTTGTATTTAACAAATTTATCTACTTAAAAAATGAGGATGACAGAGGGAGGGAGGGGGAGAGGGAGAGAGATGGGGGGGTGTCAAGAAAGGGGGGTTGGTCCTACCTGATATGCTCCTTCGCGTTGAGTGAAGACAGCATCCAGGAATGGGTAGTCCTCATCTGCTAGCCAATAGGACTGAGTCTGTCAAAACTGCGAGGACACACTTACACCAATGGTCCCCAGCTTTTGGCAAAGGCATAGAGACAGACCCGATGTGTCTTGTTCAGAAGTGTTCCCCTCCCAATGGATCGAGGACCAGCCGGTCACTAGGGTGAGGCTGGATGCTGTCTCCATTCAACGAGAAAGAGCGTATCAGATAGGACCAATGCTACTTTTCCATTGTAGTGGAGACAGCATCCAGGAATGGGACATACCAAAGCGGTCGTGTCCTTACGGGTGGGTCACAGCCTGGTCCGAGGTCCCCTCATCTGCATGCACCCTCTGGAGGACCCGCCTACTAAAGCCCGCCTCAGCCGAGGCATAGCTGTCCAGTTTATATTGCTTGATGAAAGTGGACAGGGAGGACCATGAAGCCACATGGCAAACCTTTTCCAGAGAGGCTTGTGTTGCCCACGCCGCATTTGTGGCCGCACTCCTTGTGGAGTGTGCCATGATACTGTTGGGCAATGGAAGAGCCTGTATTTCAAATGATTTGGCAATACACGCCCTAATCTAGCGGCCCAGGGTTGATGGGATGACCTTGGCTCCTAACATAACACTTTTTGTAATGCAAATAAACCAGGTAGATGGTTAGCCTACTTGTTAAGGAAAAAACAAAAGCTATGTACTATAGAAAAAATAGAATACAAAGGTAAAGAGGTATATCAACAAAATATGATTTAAAAAGCCTTTTTAGAATTCTATACAAAGTTATATGCTAGGGATACAATTCAAGGCAAAGATATAGACAGATATTTACAGGAGGAGAATATCCCTGTAATTACACCAGAGCAAAGGGAAGGACTGAACTAACTAATAACTTCGGAAGAAATTATTTTAGCAATTAAACAGTTAAAGGGGGTAAAGCTCCAGGCACAGATGGACTGACAGCTGTTTATTATAAAAATTTGCAGTTAAAAATGGTAGAACCGCTTAAGGAACTATTTTGCAAGATTCAAGCCGGAGGAGATGTACCCCCTTCCTGGAGAACAGCTTTTATTTCATTGATTCCAAAGGAGGATCAAGACCGTACTCAACATAAGAATTATAGGCCAATATCGCTTTTAAATACTGATTACAAGATTTTTGCTAAAATATTAGCAAATAGGTTAATGGTAATCATGCAACAAATGATTCATAATGACCAGTCTGGATTTATAAGTGGGAGACAAATGAAAGGTAATGTAAGACAAATTGTAAACTTATTGGAATACTTGGAAAGGAACAACCAAGTCCCTGCAGCGCTTATCTTTTTGGATGCGGAGAAGGTATTTGATCGATTGAATTGGCAATTTTTATTGAAAATAATAGAAAAGATGCAGTTTGGAGAATACTTTACACAATCTATTAGAGCAATATATCAGAGACAAACAGCACAAATAATAATTAATGGTGGTTTAACAGAAATTTTTAAAATTGAAAAAGGAACAAGACAGGAATGCCCTTTATCACCATTATTGTTTATTTTAATTTTGGAACCTTTATTGAATAAAATACGAGGGTCAAATAAAATAAAGGGAATTAAAATTAGACATCATGATTATAGATTAAGAGCATTTGCAGATGACTTGGTTGTTACTTTAACTCAACCAGTACAATCAGCTACAGGTTTAATGGATATAATTAGCCAATATGGACAAATGTCTGGATTTAAAATAAATAAACAAAAAACAAAGATAATAACTAAAAACATGATGGCAAAGCAAAAAGAAGAACTAGAAAGACTAACAGGATTTGAAATAGTAAAAAAGGTTAAATATCTAGGGGTATATATCACAGCCTCAAATGTAAAATTATATAAAAATAATTATGAAATGTTATGGCAAAAAATACAGAAAGAGATGGAGAATTGGGGAAAACTACAATTATCTCTGTTGGGAAGAATAGCAGCAATAAAAATGAATGTTCTACCTAGGTTTCTATTTTTGTTCCAAATGATACCAATGCTCAAGAAAGATGAAAATCTGAGGGAATGGCAGAAGGGTATTAATAATTTTGTTTGGGCAGGGAAAAGACCGAGAATAAAGTTAAAAATAATGCAAGATCTACGTGAAAGAGGAGGTCTTAAAATGCCTAATTTAAGATTATACTATGAAGCAGCTGTCCTAACAATAATTAGTGATTGGATTAACTCAACAGAAGAAAGAATATTGAACATTGAAGGATATGATTTGTTATATGGCTGGCATGCTTATTTATTATATGATAAAAAGGTGGATAAGACTTTTAAAAGCCATATATTAAGGAATGCCTTGTTACGAGTTTGGAAAAAGTATCAATATAAATTAAATTATAAGATACCTATATGGGCAATACCCAGACATGCGATAGAGAATATAAGTGTAGAACAAAAGCAAGAGGTGATTACTTATAAAGAGCTTCTTAAAATGGAAGGGGGGGGTATTGCAGTTAAAATCTTTAAATGCATTAAAAGAAGAAAGAATAATTCAAACTTGGTTTCAGTATGGTCAGTTGCAAGCTAGATGGAAAGAAGATCAGAGAATTGGTATCATGCAGAACGAGGAAAATTTGGTAAAACAAATTAGAGACCAAGGTCAAATGCATATAAAAAGATTATACAATGTATTGATAGAAATAGATTCAGAAACGGAATTAGTTAAGGATTGTATGATAAAATGGGCACAAAATATTCAGGAACCAATAACGATGGAAACTTGGGAAAAAATATGGGTTAGAAATTTAAAGCACAAAATTTAAGAGAAAATTTTTATAAAATGTTCTATAGATAGCATTTAGATCCTAAAAAGTTGGCTTGTATGTATCCGAATTTACATACTAAGTGTTGGAGATGTGATTGTGATGATGCCACTTATTATCATATATGGTGGACTTGTAAAAAAGTTAAAGCATTTTGGATTAAAATATGATGGATTATCCAAAATATTCTTAAAAAGAAGATAAAGTTTACTCCACAATTGTTTTTGTTGGGTATAATTACAGATTGTACGGTTATAGAGACTAAATTGATTTTAAATTTAATAACTGCAGCTAGACTTTTGGTGGCGCAATATTGGAAGAAGGAAGATTTGCCTACTATTGAAGAATGGACATTAAAAGTAGCGAATCTGGCAATGGCGAAGATTTCAGCATATTTGAAAGATCACTCACAAGAAAGATATATATCGGAATGGAGAAGATGGATTGATTATATTCAAAACAAATATCGGACTAAAAAGTATCAAATAGCTTATGAATGAATAGAAAAATTAAGAGTATTTATGTTTAGTTAGTAAAAGGGGAGTTAAAGTGTGAAGGGAGGGATAGGAATCCTTAGTTTATTAGCCTAGTTTAGCATATGATTGTTAATTGTTATACCCTGTATTTTGTTCTGGGAAGTTCAGGGAGGGTGGGGGGCCTTCAAGGAAGGGAGGGGGGATGGGGAAATACTTGTAAAAAAAAATTTTTTTTCCTTCTGTAAAACTCTAATAATAATAATAAAAAAAAGAATCACCTCC